CATTTTTCAATGACTACGACTCTGCTAGTGTTGGAGACAGATTTCAATGGTTTTGAAAACAGAAGAGGAGCTTTGATGGACGACAACAAGCATTCATCAGGTGCTGAACACAGAATAATGAGCTCCGCCCAGGTGTTTCCAGGTACACGTCACATTACCGTGACTCAACAACAACGCTGGGCGAGAGACTCAAACGGTTCCTGAACGATGAGAATAAAAAACTTTACAGGTGGCCTGTGTGATGGATGCTCAGGGTTTCTTTAATGGTAACCATTAAAGAAACCATTAAAGTTATTGGTATAGTTTAGACTCTTGTAATTCATCCATAATTTTTCGCTTCACTTGTTTTGATTCTATTTTCTTGGATTTCTCTGTTTTGGTTTCACCTTTTAAAGGCGACCGCCCTAATAATTAACAGCTTTTGTGCTTCGTACTTTCCTACCTTCCTCCGTTGCCTCTACGGTTTGCTGTTTTCCTGATTTTGTCCATCGGGTCCTCCTTTGGGGTCTTCATTAGCCTTATTTTTAATTTCCTTGCTTGTTAGTCGAACATCTCTCAGGTTCTTTGTCTCTGTTGCGCCTTTGTTTTCTTTGTATTTTTCCGGATCGTTGGTCAGTGGCTTCCTTTTGCCGTTCAGCGGTCATGCGCCGAATTCCACGCTGCATCACTTAGTCCCGTAGTCTTTTCTTCTCGGCGCTCTCTCGGCTCATTACTTTCTCTGTTTGTGTCCACATCAGGATTGGCTTTTCAGCTCTGAGAGGAAGAAACCTCAGCATCTGGCTGACTCACCGTATTGATCAACACCCCCCATCAACTCTCTGCAGATGAATTGCAGCCGTTTCATGCTTTGGGCTCAGTAGAAATCTTATTTATTGCACCTATAAACGCTTTAATAGGCCATACTTCCCACAGCGTGAGATCGACTGACATGAAAGCCTGACTCGTGTTGCATATGCATGAAAATCTCCTCGGTTTCACATTTTACAAAGTTCTGAAAACCAAACAAAGAAAGAACATTTTTAACTTAGCAACAAAAGAATGTGGAGGAAAAAGCTCCATACAGCGCTGCACTCGGACCATATAGTGTATATAGAGGTTGTGGGTGTTTTTCTCTGTTTTGTTTTGGACTATTTCTGATCGACCCGAAGGCTGACTGCATCATCTGCTGCACTGAAAGACTGTGAGGTGGGTGGCAGCGAGGACTGCCAGGCTGACTTTAAAAAGAACATTTTATTCAAATGAGACCTCCTCATTGGAGAGGATACATCCTGAATATAGTCAATTGATTTAGCTGTTCGAGTCTATTTCCTGTGGTATGAATATTTGGTAATAATATGAAACTGTCAGCACATTGTGTTTCATGATACAACACAGCTGAGGCTTCTGCTGCTGTGGCTTTGGCCATTTGGCAGCAATGAAAGGGTAATGTGATTTTAGGGACGAGAACGCCAGTGACGTCTGTCACGAGGGGCAGAAGCTGACGTGTGCTCTTCAACTCTGCAATGAAACATCTACTGACAAAGACCACTGCGCTCACACCACCTTTCTGAGCAGCAGAGAAACGTCTCCAGGCTGGAACAGGCCAGAGCTAGTCTGGAGCAACGACTGGATGTCATCCTTCTGTGCCATTAAGCAGTGACAGACAAATAGCTGTGAAAATGGTGACAGGTGTGGATGAAATAAACACAGGTTGATGTTGTTGTTGACTCTGACGTCAGCAGATTTCTTCAAACGTGCTGAAGAAAGAAAAAAACGGCCACAGCTTTGGACTCTGGGTCTGGCAGAAGCTCCAGTTTCACCCCAGCAAACGAGCAGAAGCATCACAAGCTGCAGAATAACGTGAAGCTACAAATATCTGTAAGATACCACAGCCTCACACCTGTCGCTCTTGTATTTGTCCGTGCAGTGACAGTGTTAGACGATTATATGTAAAAGAAAGTTTTCATGTGACAGTCGAGGGAAAGACTGAGTCCACCCCTGATTCAACAGCTTGTAGCAGCAATAACCTGCAGGGAGGATTTTCTCTGTGGCTTCGTCAGTCTCTCACATCACTGTGGAGGAGTTTTGGTCCACTCTTCTTCATATTGTTTTTCGCCTCATTGAGGTTTGCAGCATTCGTTCATGCACAGCTCTCTGAGCTCTGCAGCAGCTCCGTTCTTCTCTTCTTCAGTCGTTCTGTTGCAGATCTGCTGCTGTGCTGGGATCTTTGTCCTGTTGATGACCCGGTTTGGTCCGAGCTTCAGCTGTGGGACACACGGCCTCACACTGACTCTACAGAGGAGCTCATGGTCCACTCAGATCATCGTCCCTCCTCCACCGTGCTGACGGCTGTATGAGGTGTTTGTTTCCTCCAGATGTGCTGCTGTGCGTGGTGGACAAACATCTCCACTGTGGTCTCCTCTGTTAAGATGCAGTTTTGGAAATATACACCATGCTGGTATGTTCTCTTTAGAGAGAAGACTCTTTCCCCTGAAGCCCTAAACAAGCCATACTTGTTCACTCTTTGCTAGCCGAGGTCTGAGCTGCAGCTTTTGGGTTTTTTGGAGTTCTTCTGAGTTTTGCACGGTCTGACCTTGGGGTGAATTCTTTGGAACGTCCAGCGCTGTGAAGACTTGCAGCTGAATGTTTTCAATTTGTGAATAATCTCCCTTAGTATTTGTAGACGGCCTTATAATCCTTCCCAAGATCTTTGCTGACATCTTTCCTCCTTCGCTTGGTCCAAACTAGCAAAAGTGCCATAAGTAGTGGTGCTCACACCGACTGATGATCCTTTAATTAAGTGCATTTGTGCATTTAATAAGCAGCACCTGGCTGCTACTGACCTTTAATATTCTGAATTCCTATAGAAGCAGTAAGCGTGCCATTTACTGAGACTGAAAGTTAATAAATACGCTGAACTCACTGTTTAGTACGTTTTACAGAACCATGGACCAGAACAATCCTAAGGCAGGGTCAGGGTTGATTTCTGCTCCTCTCTATCAGCCCATCCCAGCAGCCATGACATCTGGTCAGACCCCCTTCATAGCAAAGACGTCTAACAGGATGTCAGAGGCAGCAGTTTGTAAGAAGGAGCTGTAGTTTACACCTTCGTAGGAAATTCTCTGCAGATGATCAGCATGTGAATCTAAATTACATTTAGCCACAGACTTCACACTGAAACAGCGGTCTTTAATGAAAAGTTGGAACAGAACGGGCGTTTGCTGGAAATACTGAAAGAAAACTCATAATCTGCAGAAGAGTGGTGTGGTCAGAAACATAATAGGAGAGAGGCACAGCATATTTAAAACTCAGCCTCTCTTTGTAGGGCAGAACAGCTGCCGGTCGTCTCAGGAACAAAGAGGCTCTGCAGAGCTGCTGCTCTATGTGCTCTGGGTTTGAGCTCAGAGGGGATTTCTGCTCAGCTCCTTGGATAGCTTTGCATCAGTGGGAGAGCAGGGCTTTCTGTCTGGCTCTGAATGTGCTGTCCATAGCAAACGACTACTTCTTTGCTGAAAAATTTATCCCGCTCCAACCAACAGGGGAAAAACTACAAATAGCGCAGAGAACAGGAGTCAATATCAGACTTTTAACACTCTTCCTGCTCCGGAGAGATGAGCCTGAAACACGGCGTTAATGAAATCTTTATGCGTCTGTCAGGATGAACAAACCAGGTCTGCACAAACATCCTGCTTTGTTAACGTACTTGTCATCTCTGCCGACCGCAACAAAACGCTGAAAGATGGCGCCGAAACAAGCCGTCACTCTGGCTTCCCTACGGACTCTGTGACGCTCGGCTCCAGTCAGGAGGAGAGGACCCAGCTCGGATCGGGACAGGGCGGATGAAACCGGGCCCACAGTATGCAGTGCACGTAAAGGAAACATACTGGAGTTATTTATCCGTGGATTCTCCCAAAGCTCCATGTTCCTTCTTTACCGTTTCCCCCAAACAGTACAGTGTGCTGCAGTAATGCCTTGCTCACAGCTTCATTATTTCGCCTTCTGTTTAAGCCATAATAAAGCTTTACACCACATTTATGAACAAAGTGTGAATCTCGACTTTGACAGTGAGATTTTTGCGAGACTTTGGGTCCTCATTAGTCAGGTCTCCATGGCAACGCTGACGCGTGTGTGTGTCTATGAAAAATTGGTTTTCAGGTTCACGTCTGTCCATCAGCCTACTGGGTGAGGAGCTAAAACTCTGCAGAGGGATTTAAAACACACCTAATTTTAAATAAACGATTGTAAAGGAATTAATTCATTATTAATTATATTAAAGAACATTTCAATCACAGGTTTAATCGAAGCCCAGATTTGGATCCCGCTGAAACATTTTAAACTTGTAGTGTATGCAAGAACACACATATGGACACAAGTATGACGCAGCCTGCACACATCACACCTACAGGAGCTGCTCGACCGTCTCTGCACTCAGTGATGTCTCTGACACACTGTGCAACCAGGTAAAGATGGTGGTTGGTGTATAATTCGGTTTTTTGATGTTTGGGACTGACTGCAGGTAGCTTCAGTGATCAGTGCAGAGGTGTCCTGTCAGGAGGCAACCTTAGTCTAATCTGGAGGGATCATTCAAACAGACTGTTGAAGGTTTGCAGTTAATCAACATCCATTTTATAGAGTCAGACAGATTCCAACACGTAATCCACCAACGGTTTGGACCTGTGCAGGATATACTGGACAAAGGATGATGAAGATGGAGCTGCCAGCAAGGAGGAAAAGAGGAAGCCCTCAGAGGAGGCTCATAGATGCAGTGAAGGAGGCCGTGCAGAGGGCTGGAGTGATTGTGGTGAAATAGAAGTTAAGGAAGAAGAAGTCTCTATCAAGCCATCACAGCAGCTGCAGCATCATCTGCAAAGTCATGTGTTTTTATACTGATGAAGATTAAGAGACGTAACCCAATACTGTTTCCTTACTGTGTATCGCAGACTGACTGAAAACTCCTGAACATAGAAGTTGTTTCTACCAAAGGAGGGCATCAGTGTCACTGCAGTGGGATGAGTGCTTACCGGTCCAAAGCTGTTGCTGTCCAGACTGTGGCCGTGATGATCTCCCTCGATCCAGAAGTGACCATCTGGAACTCGAACATAGCGGTTCTTGTAGGCCAGAGTCCTGAAAAGATGGAAAATGAGAGAAACTTCTAAGAAAGCAAGAACTTTGTTTTCAGTCAGACGTTCATTATAAATTCATTCAATTTAATCGAGAAGACATTGTCGAGATGACCTGCTGAAGTTAGGGTTAGGGCATCACAGTGGGAAAGAAAGCTGATGGAGGGAACTCTGAACTTGGCATGGTTGTTGGTGCCAGACAGATTGGTCTGACTGTTTCAGAAACTGCTGATCTGCTGGGATTTTCCCACAAACCCATCTTTAGTGTTTACAGAGGTCGGACTGAAAAAAGAAATCCAGTGAGCCACAGTAATCCAGTAACGTGCCTTACTAATGTCAGGGGTCAGAGGAGAGTGCCCAGATTGGTTCAAGCTGACAGAAAGGCAGCGGTAGGTCGAATAACAACCAAAGCCTGCAGAAGAGCATCTGTGAGTGCACAACATGTTGAACTTTGAGGCAGAAGTCCACACTGGGTGTCGCTGCTGCCAGCCTAAAGCTGCATTTCAGAGTCTCACCAGAACTGCAAAATAGAAAAGCATTGAAACATCTTTTGAGTCTCGATTTCTGCGGCGACATTCGGACGGTAGGATCAGAGTATGACGTGAACAACATGAGAGCATGGATCCATCCCGCCTGTATCAGCAGTTCAGGCTGGCTGTGGACTGACTGCAGGAGAGTTTTTCCTGGGTCCCAACTGAGCATAATTTAAACTCCGCAGCCGACCTGAGTAATGTTTCTATGTCCATCTCTTTGTGACCACAGTGAATCATGATGGCTCCACTCATGCTGAGAGGACCACAATTAAACTCCTCAATTCAAACACAGAAATACAACAAAATCAAATGTCGCCATTTATATTCAGACTTCAGGCAGCATTACATTTAATGCAACACCAGCATTGGAAAATTATTACTGTTAAACTGCAGCGATGACAGCAACTACACCCATTTTTACTGATGCATGAAATAAATCAGGTTCCAAGTATTGATGGCAGTGATAATAAAAGAAAGAAATGTTCACCAGAATTATGATGGTTTTGTAATTTCCACTGTTTGTTTTCAGTTCAGTTTAGGGTCAGTTAGTTATTTCAGTTATATATTTATATTTTATCACACCCAGCTTTATTCTTTGATGTAACTTTGGATATCTATGACGACCCGACTCAAAAACAGAACTGACTAGGACTAGGAATGACTATGAACAAAGCTAGCAGGCTAACTGTAGCCTGCATGATGTTATTTTTTTCAGTCACAATACAGTAAAAATATAATGACAACTACTCACAAGGCAACTATACAGGCTGCCTGGATGGAGGCAAGCTGTCCAACTTGGACTGACTGCAGTCACTCACACTTTCACACTTAAAGTTCATTTACTCTGAATCAGATGATGAGGTTGCAAACTTCAGCCTTTTCCTGTAGTTTTTTCCCAAAACTGACAAAAACAACAAGTGAACCAAGCAAGTCTCTTTAAACCAAATGAGAATGTTTAGTCCACTTATCCGCTCTTTAAGTCTGACGTCATTAGCCGTTTCTGGGTCCAAAGTCAAACGAACACTGCACCATCGCTGAGAGTTACATAATAAATAAAATGATCAGCGTTGCTGCTTTACCAGGTGTAACAAATAAGTTTAACATCCAGGCATCCATGAAAACAGGATTTATGAAGTTTAACAGAGTTAGAAGTTAGCGGAAGTTAGCTCGCTAGCTTCCACCTAAACATGATATAGCATGTTCTGAGTGAGAGGTTTCTGAATAAATCCAAACGTACAGCTCTGTTATCACTTCCAACATAAATGAAGACAGAAAACTAAACAGCAGTGACGTTTGTAGGGTTACTGAAGTTTGGCTAGCTGCTATATAATGATGTGGTAAATGGACTGATTCTTACATGGCGCTTTTCTACTCTCCCAGAGTACTCAAAGTGCTGTATACACTCATTCACACTCATACAAGAACTTCTATATTCAAGTGCAATCTAACCAACATTCACACAACTTGGGGTTAGAAACTTGCCCAAGGATAATTTGGCATGCAGACTGGGGAAGCCAAGGATCGAACAACCAACCTTCCAATCAGTAGCTGATCTGCTACGTGATCGCTAGCGACACAGCTATGTTAGCATAAACACACTGAAGCCTGCAGGATGAACACCAACCTTTTTCCACTGGATAAAAGTTAACGTGAGGGTTCCTGATGGTTAGAGACAAATGCAATCGCATGGCAGGATGCTGTAAATGGACCAAACTTCAGTCAGGAGAACAACTGAGATAATCCATCCACAATATGAGGTTAGTCATTCATATACTGCTACATGGGCTGGAGTTACATCATAAGGGTTTAAAAACTGAGCTTTAAAATGAAGAGCGATGATAAAAACTGAGAGAAGCCGACAGTGATCACTGACTGTTTTGAGGGGCTTGTTCAGATTAAATAGAAAAAGATACAAAACATTAAAACATGTTAAAAACACAACAGCCTTAATAAACGTAGGGTATTTTGGGCTGGAAGCAGGATTCATACGTCATCACTTAAAGACCGGAGTGGCCAGATTGCATTAATTCAACTGCTAGCTGCTATTCCACACTTACCGTTTGTGTACTCTGCACATACATGGTACCTGTTGTATCTCAGATTGCAAAACACACCCAACTACAGGAGGGCGCTTAGCTCAAATTGCAGCATACACCTGGTAGCTGTGTTGGATTGAGGTTGGATCACATACACAACATAAACAAACTGCTCTGGAGTTCATTTGAAACCTGATCGAGATGTGTTTTTGGTTCACACCAGAACAACTGTAAACTGATAATTGCTGTGTCTTATCATCATTTCATTGCCTTAGTGATGCACTAAAGTCACTCTGACGACTGCAGCTGACTGCGAGTTGTCCGAGACCTGGTCCTCATCTTCAAAGGTAACATGGATGCAAGTTGTTTGCACACGGTTGGAATCATTTTGATTGTGTTACGGTCTCTAACTGTAGCATTAGCTAATGTTAGTGGTGTTGCTGGTATATCTCCAAAAGTTGATTCTGTTCATCTGGACGTAGCGTTTTGTGGGAGAAACGTTTCGTCATCATCAGGTGACTTCTTCAGTCTCAGCTGACTGCAGGTTTCAATCTTATAAACAGGACATTTGCATAATGAGTGAAACCAGCCCACTGAAGGAGCAATGGGCTGGGAGGGCAGTTCCTTAATCTTAATTATGCAAATTCTCATGACCATTGATCAACAACCACTGATCAATGGCCATGAGTCCCATTCACAGAGAGTTGGGGAACGGCTACAATCACAAGCGCATTTTCTGCTTTTAGCATGTTTCAGACTTTTTGTATTGTGCTTTTAATCTTAACAGTTTCTGGAAACCAAACAGGAGCTCACAAAATGATCTCCAGCGGTAAACTGATCAAAGTGTTCATGTGGGAAGACAAAAAAAAGAAGATGAAAATCAGGAGAGAATAGCCGTTAACGTTTTCATTGACGGTGGATCAAATTATCGCCTTCATTTCATTATCCTTAATCATCAGCCTCCAAATCATCTCCTGCAGCGTCACTTCCCTCCGTCACCTTATCGCTCAAACAAAGATCTGATCAGAGGATTCAGCCTAACAGAGGTGGTGGAGGGGGGCGGTGCTCATCTCGTCCTGCAGCCGCTTCAGTTAGCTCGTCGCGTTTATGAGGAGAAGGTCCGACACCCTTCATCATCCCTCTGGACTGTTACGAGGCTGTTCCAGCCCTGATTTATCATCCAGCTTGGGAACATTGTGAATTATAGCCTCAGTGACTTTTTAAATGGAAATTTGTCTGCAATTCCTCACGCATGTGTGTGTGTGTGTGTAGGTTGGTCCTGCAGGCTGACCAAAGAGGCCTTGGATACATAAATATTGATTTAGCCATAGCAGCTGAATTTACTGACTCGCAAAGGAAAAGAAATAAGAGAAAACAAGCTGGGACCTTTTTGCAGAAATAAAAAGGTTGCAGTTTATATGACACCAATTCTCTGCTACATTTGACAAGGAATGAGTATGAAATCTTTAAAGAACCAAGGACAATTGAGTTTACTGCATTTAGTCTTTCATTCGACTCAGCTTGGTGTGCTGTGGTGATGAATCAGAGCTACAAGAAAAAGAAATCATCATCATTTGTGGTTTAAAAAGCCGTCCCAGCAGTTATTTTTTGATGAAATGTAAATTTTCTAATTAACCTTTTTCCATTTACATGCCCGCCGTGCTTCTACATCAATTAGTGCGTTCTCCACGTGCACCTTTCAAGTGAGTAAAAAGGTGCGACCTTGATGTTATCTCCACAGCGAAATTAGCAGCAGAGCTGTGGCCTCCCAATCTGTTTTTAATATCTTTAGTGCCTTTGAGCAGAATTTCATAGAAAACCTAGAGAAAGCTGCGTCTTAATAATCCCAGTTTGGGAAAATGCTGCATTAGAAGCACTCGCAGCTACACCGACTGAGCTTTTACAGTTAAAGTGCTTCACAAGTAGACTTACTTTCATATCTGTCGGTGTCTGGTTTTCTTTGAGGTCTTTCTGGATTACAAAAGAAAATAATATGCATAATGTAAAAGGTATTTTACTGCTACAAAGGCTCTCCCAGAGAGACGAAGAACATGCATTTTATAAATATACAAATAACTGGATAAATGCCGCATAAGAATCTCTCAAAACTGACGGAGCTTACTGCACTGGCTTTGAGCTCTTTGAGTAAAAGCGTAACATATAGAGTCATGTGGAAGTCTTCTCATGTTATGAGTACATGTTTGACTGATCCTGTTGTTATAGCTGTGTGCTGTAGTTTGTCATGTATGCATCATGTGGTGGATTATGTAGTTTGTGTACGGACCAAATCTGGGGGGGGATGCTGCAACAGTCTCCATGCTGCAGAGAATGCACTGTGGATAGTAACGGCTGCATGGTGAGGATTGCTTTTGATTTCTCAAGCACATTTAACACCATCCATCCAAGTCTCCATCCACTCATAACGAGCACGAGCG